TATAAATACAAGATTTCATTTACGTTACACTGCTATAACAGATGAGATTTTTTTCTAAAGATTTTGATTAATTTTTCCTCATATTTAATACTCCGACTTCAACCGACAATAGCATTGGATTTTCGGCCAATGAATGCTGAATACTTCCTCATAAGGACTCTGCTAATATTAGCATTGTTCAATATAACTCACTCCAACCACCTATCTGAATTGATGAAGCCCTATATGGTTTGTGTCAAATCAGCTTTTGCCATTTAGCTAACAGTTTCTTCCTATGGTTCGATGATAAATTGGCATTCGAACAACCTTTGATGTAAAGATTGTTTGAGAAGGATTATTGAAGCGTTTAAAGGGAAAATTTTCCGAAGAATCTCTTATTAACCCCAGCTTTACAGTAAACGTACGAAAAAGAAGGTGGAGGGGACGTTCATGCGTTTGCACTTGCAGTTCAATCAAGTTCTGACGCTTCCTCCCTGTTTTTGTTTGATTATTAAATTTGTGAACAATGCCATACTATATGAAAGTTATTGCAGGCATAGGAAATTTACTGAATATCTAAAACATTGAAACAATTTAACCACACAAAAATGTTTTATCGATGGAATTCCTTTATTAAGAACAATCAAACGAAGGATATACCTTAAAAAAGATGAGTGGGAACTAGCTCAGTATACCAACAGATGATGCATGCAAACGGAGACACTGGCAGACAATTCTAGGTTTCAGGTTCGATTCTTGTCGGAGAGCGCCTATTTTCTACGAAATTTCTCGAACATTCAGGCCAGTAAATGCAATTAATAATGTTTAAGTAAAAAAACACACCCCCAAAAAAAAAACAGAGCATTTACTTAAATAAATTATATCTATATAAATAATGTATAAACAGAATATATATATATATATATATATATATATATATATATATATATATATATATATACATACATATATATATATATATACAGTGCCTTGCATAAGTATTCGCCGAACTTAAACGTTTACAGATTCTGTCAAGTTACAACCACAAATTTCAATGTATTTTATTGGGGTTTTATGTAATGAACCAACCTAAAACAGGGCATAATTTTGAAGTAGGGAAGGAGGGAGATATTACATGGTTTTCAAAATTATTTATGAATAAGAATGTGAAAAATGTTGAATGCATATGCATTCACCCCCTTTACCCTGAAAAAGGTTTGCAGCAAAAGATGCATCTGCAAAGTATTAACTCGGAGTGGGAGTGAATGCCTATGCATCCAAGAGATGACTACTTGGTTTTCTTAATTTTTGTTTCTGTCACAATAAAATGTATTTTGCCCCCTTAAATCACTTTGCATTTTGTGTTGATGAAATGGTAAAAAGAACTTTTAAGTTAATTTGAATTCCAGCTGATAACACAACGAAATGTCGAAAGGTCCACTTTATTTTGACATGTTTCACCGATGATCCGACGTCATCAGAAAACGAATCTTATTTCATAAAAAATCTACACTAGCGAGAGATGTCATAAAGAAACAAACAACTGCTTAGTTCTTACCTTCGCAGACACACGCACGCACAAAATATTTAGCCTCGTCTAGTATAGTTTACTTATCTAGTTCTAACGAGACAATGAAAGTCAAACAAGTACCTTACCAACAGCTGAAAAGAACCAAAATTGGAATACCAGCTATAAAATTCTGTAGAATGGATAGATTTTTGCTTGCATAAGGTTTTATAAAGCGCATAATCTTGGTTGACAGTCTCAGTGGATAAATCAATTGTTATTGTCTATTAGACCTATAAAATATTTATCTTCTTTCAAGCAATAAAAGATCCGGTGTAAAGGACCAAATCCCTCTTGATCATTGAAAACCTCTTGCTGAGGCATTTCTGAGTAGCTGTTGAGAACAAAGTAGAGAACAACAGTCCTTTACAAATGCAAGCTTGTGTTAAGTAAAACATACGCAAACGCTGAAACTGCATACCAAAGCAAATTATCGTGTGAGCGTTACTTACTGAATTGCTCATCTATGCATCCGTTTATCAAAATTAATTCAGTTCATTGCATATCTACACAGACATTCTTCTTTTATGTTCAGGATATGAACGATCATGGTTCCCCACGAATTCCTAGTTCTGGTATCATTGTTTGCCCTCGTAAAATCCTTCTCTATTCATTGTCTGCCATCCATTTACACAAGATCAGGTAGGTTACTCGCTGTTTCACTCTGCCCGCTTGCCTTCAATGAGAGTTAGTTTCTCCAAGCCTCTTTTCCTCATTATGCGTCCCAGAAATTTCAACTATTTCTGATCTTAAGTAAAAGTGTCCTTTTCGATCCCGTTTTCCTTTTTCGTTACTCACATGTTCCGACAATGGCATTCTCAGTATTATTCTGTAGAACCACATTTCTGCTGTCTCAAGCCTCTTTTCATCTGTGAGGAAATTTTCCAGCATTCCCTGCCACAGAGAAGGATTGGTATTATATAAAAGTTGAGCACTTTTGTCTTTGTTTCCAACGAAATATTCTTGTTTCTAAATATTGTGCATAGTTTCTGGAATAGATCTTTCGTTATTTCAATGTGTCTTCGGATTTCTGTCTCGCATATTCCAATGTCTGTTACACCTCTTCCCAGATAGCTAAATTTCTTTACTTTCTTTATTTCGATGTCTCCATTCTGTAGCTTGCATCTTGGATTGTTCCTTTTACTAACGGCCATATAGTCTGTTTCTTACAATTGCTGCTTAGTCCTTTTTTTTTCTCGCTTTAAATGTTTCAAGTTTTACATCTTGATATAATATTTGTGTATTTCTCAAGGTGCTAATGTTCCGTGCTCGATTTCAAGGCAAATTCCATTTGGAAAATTAACGCTATTGTAACGGGCCCTCGTAAAAATTTAAAGGAAGTGGCTAAGTCAGAGGTCTCTTTAACAGCATTACTTTAACCGGCATATAACGAGCCCTCTGATTGGTCTCTTTTCCACCTTGGTCGACAATTAAGAAATTTTATCTCTCTTTTGACTACTGATAATCGACAGGTGAAAATATACCGAGCTGGCCTCTGACAAACAACCATGTGGAAATTTCACGAATAGTATGTACCATTTTAATAAATATCTCTAGTTATTTAGAGACATATTTAAATTTCATGTTGATTTCGATTTTATTTTCTTTCTTGTTGCGTAACCGTTATTTCATTTCACTCCAACAAGTTATAATACCCAAGTTTGTACACTTGTAATGATGTCTGCAACACTATATAATCTTTCTACCTATAAGTTACTTACTCCTACTTTCTAAACATGTTTCTCAGCAGGACAATATTGCTTACTTGTGAGCAAAGTCTCATTTTTAAGGTAACATTTTTTTGTGATATATGCACTGCCACACTCTATTAATAGTTCGAAAAATAATAGAAGTTGTTAAAAGTTCTTTTCTTTGTAATTCGTTCCCTTTGAGACTTTGTATTTTCTGACAATCACGGAAATAATTTGCGTCAGTTATGAATCCATAATTCCGGAAATTGAGTTGTCCAAATTTAATATAAATGCATCTTGTTCCAAAAATAATATATGTGTTGCGGACTGGTGATTGTGTTTTTATTAATCAGAAGGAATTTCGAGGATGTGTTCTAAAACATTCGTCCACAACAATTACTTAGAACAAATCATGCAAATAAAGTTGGAAAAACAAGACAAAAGTTGAATGCATAACATTAACATTAATTTATATACAAATTAAATATATACAAATGAGTTGGTGATTTGTTGTATATTGGTGTAATAAGACATGTAGTTTGTTGTAGAGTATGTTTGAATGCTTAAATCAATGTTTTGGTGATTTATGGTAAGAATTAAACAGTTTGCTGTTCAATGTACAAAAGTGTTTGATTTTACAGTTCAAATGTTAATGTGTGTATACGAGTGTTATTGTAAATATTCTTAAGTTGTACGAAGTTGCGTACCTTGAACTGTTAATTGTTGAAAGTTTTGTTTGTTACTGTTACTAATTATGTAGTGAATATATATTCCACTTTCTCAAGTAAAGTAAATGAATTTTCTGAGAAGTTTTTTTAAAGAGAGATTGAGTAAACCATTAGGTTGTTGAGTCAGGTTAATTCGCGCGGAAAAGTTTAAATTGGCATGGAATTGGTTGGCATCTCTCCGAGTGTGGAGTCCTGACTGGTGAATTGGACTGAATTTCGTCCTTTTATTTAGTTTGGGAAACCAAAGTAGGCTCCCAGTGTCCTGGCGGGAAAACAGATTTTTTGACCATGGATACACATTCTAGGGGTCGTCTCGACCAATCACAAGCCGAGTTTCACAATGTGTGATGTTGATTGGTCAAAGCTAATTCTTATAGAAGAGTCTATTTTTAACGAAGGTGAATAGACAAACATTGACGATTCTATATATGCATCAATCTGGCGTGAGATGTCCAAAATTGTCTTCTGTGTCTCTAAAACTTAATTCATGATCAAAAGGAGATAACAGACTCCATTTCGCCAGTATAAAATCAGACATTCATCTTGTAACAAACAAACAAAAATATTCGGGGATAAATAATAAAGATTCCTTTAAAGCGTAATTTTAATATGTTAAAATACCGGAAAAAAGTGATCGATAGTTAAAAAAAGGGATACAAAACAGTATTTTACACATTACTAAGTTTTGTAAAGATCTACAAATGTAGTGAACTTTTTATAAAAGAGCAACATCTAAATATTCACAAGGTGCCTCGACGTGAGGTAATGGTTAGCGAGCTAATATGGCTGATTATTACCACTGAATATTGAGTTCAATTCTCATTAGGTACTCCATAGTTGTGGCTTTGTGTCAAATTAAGCTTAATTAATTAATAACACCATCCAAACCCATGAGTAGGAAGAAAAAAATAATTAATGTGAAAGACAAAGAAACGAAAAAAAGAAAGTGTGTGTGTGGGTGTGTATGTTTGAAAAAGAGAGAAAGATATATAGAGAGAATACAGGAAAACGAAACAGAGAGAAGGACAAGCAGGTTCAGAGAGCGTGGGATGGTAAAGTGAGAGGAAGAAAAGTGGCGATGGAGACAAAACAGAGGGTGATGAGGATGAAAGCAGTCTGAGAAAAAGGAGCAAAGAAAGAAAGTAAGAGTGACGTGTGTGCGAGAGAAAAAGAGGAAGGAAGAGAATTAGTGTTTAGAGAGAAACAAACAAATAGCAGAAATCGGGAGCGATGTGTGTGAAAAGGGAGGAGATCAAAGGAAAGACAGAGAAGGAATGCCTTCTTGAAGAAAAAAAAAGATGGAAGGGAGGAAAAGGCAATGTGAGAGAAAAGAATAAAACAGGAAAGGATGGGAAAATATCATTTATGTGAGAGAAATAGAAACAGAAGCGGGAGTGAGAGATAAAGAATCGAGAAGGAAGGAGTGACGTTTGTAAGAAGGGAGCAGAAAAAGGAGAAAGTAGGAAGAATGAAGTAGAGTGAAAGAGAAGATTGGCGCAACATAATCCTTTCATCTTTCCACTACAATTTCGTCTGGTACCACATTAAGCCCAATGAAAATTGTTTCGTCTAATAAGCATTATTAATATTGCATTCTCTGCTTATCACAGTCCAGCACTTTCTCATTTATCATCCAGAAAAAGATTTCAGTTCTGTGTTATAAGTAGACAGTTGAATTGTGGATGAGTGCTTTCCGCGAAGGAGATAATTAGAACGGATCTTCTTCATCTAATTTTTCATCAGTACAAATTCTACAGACTGATTACAGCAAATTAAAGATGGTAGAAGAAAATTAAAGATGGTTACTAATCAACGATTTTCGTTGGCCAGTTGCTTTTTGGTAGTTCCAAGGATGAAAACAGTTGCTAGTCTTTTACGTAGACAAATGTGTGATTTTTTTAAACAAAATGGAAAGCAATGAAAAGGTTCATGAATAAGAAGGTAAAGACGTTTGTTTTTAACTAGTCATATAGGTATAAGCTTAGTTTAGTCTGGTACAATTATAGAGAATCTAGTGAAGATCAGACTCACTACAGTAGTAATGTTATATGAAACTAGATTGCTAACCACAGTGAGATTCCTCTGAAATAATCAGAGAGAGAGAGAGAGAGAGAGAGAGAGAGAGAGAGAGAGAGAGAGAGAGAGAGAGAGAGAGAAGACATTTTCCTTGGAAAGTGAAATGTCTAGATTTCTTCTTTCGTACAGTTTATTTTTTTATTTATCGCGAGTATGCCATGCGGACAAAAAAAAAAGGAGAAATAATTTTATCTCTTCCTTGAGGAATTAAGAAAACACATATCATTAACGAGAAGAGAGGTAGACGGGGCTTATATTTTCGTTAACGAAAACGAATTGGGAAATTTAAACAAAGTACGAACCCGTTTTGAGGGTCGAAGTTATGAAAATAGATCCTGTTGTTGACGAGCAGATGATCTGGTTTATGTTTTCGCTAGACAGAAATAAGCCTAAGAATGGAGGAATAATTTTATCACTTTCTTGGGGAATGAAGAGAATTAAAGTTAATGACCCTTTCGCCCACATGCTTTAAAAATTAGATTTGTCACAAAAACAGTTCTGCCTGCCTTGGGAAGTAGGGTCAGGTTGAATGCTGAGAAGGAAGTGGGGAATTTGGCACAGCCTATGTGTAGTGATAGTGCGGGATGTAAAGTAAAGCAGATTGGAGGAGCAATCCCGATAACTACTCCCAAGGAAGTGGATAATTCTCCAAATTTAGAAAGTTGATTAAGCAAGCAGAAATAGGAATCAAAGAACCCCTATTGGGATTTATGAGAAAATTGAAGAATCAACGAATCCCCAGAACCCTTCGGTCCCATGCCAGTTTTAGGCAGATGTACATATAAGCAGATAGCTTTAAGAGCTGGAAGACTGGTTTGCGAAGCCCACATCGAGTGCCTCTGAAATCCATGTCAGCTGCTATCAGATCCTGCTATCCTGGTTCTGAAGAACTTTGAATCCCGAATATAAGGCGAGGCCACAGTGCCACTATAGAGATTGGTTCGGGAAGGGTTAATTTTTGTTGTACCAAGAATTATATAAACCAATTGAAGATTAACCCAATGAATCTTTCGTTTTAATTTTTTCGTTGTGAATCTCTTCCCTTAATATAGCAGCCGCCACGGCTCGAACCAGCGCTGCGATTACTACGACATTCGATCTTTCATAAACGCTTTAAATATTTCAGTATTAACAAATTTAACAGTTTTGAAACCTTACATTATATTAAAAAAATACCTTTAAACTGAAAAATCTAAATGTTATATTACACAAGGAATAATGATAAAAATCATGAACAAAATGAAATAATACTTTTATTTCTGTAGAGAGGCAGAGGCGATTATCTCACTTTTGGGGGTACGGATTCACGAGGTTCGTGGGGTGACAAACACCAGTTGCTTTGTAGACCGCGAGGAAATAGACGTGATAGCCCGCGGTGGTAAGAAGAACGAATGGAAACCACGTAATTCAAACAAGGAACATTTTAATCAGCTTCGTTTTTAAATTTTAATTCTAATTGTTTTTAAAACATCACCAAGCCTGGCCATTTTACAATTAGGAACTTCTCGATTTTCACCTATTCACACTGCTTGTTTTATCCGTATGTGTTATAGTTTCTCTATACGGGACAAATAGTGGCAGGTATATACATATTTGTATATGATTTTTTCTATGAACTATCTATATCTAAAATCTTTTTGAGCATAATGCATATTTGACATTCATTTCTTTCAACTATTCTGGTCCTTCCTTACATTGTGTTATATTGTTAGTATATCACGGGTATACTAATGTATATTATGGTCATTGAAGACTGGAGATAACCAAGATAATTATTTTCTTTTTCCCGGTACATCATTATTTCTATTGCTTTTTTTACTGTAACGTTTTATAGCAAATCAGTTCTTCAACTCTTAAACTAACGTGCAGTAATTCAAAATAATGAATTAGCTGTGGACATAGTTCAAACTCGTCTTTCATGAATAACACCTCAACGAAGTTGGCTACTATTATTAAGTAGAGATCTTATTCTTAGTCTTCTGTCGCTAATATTCTGTTGTTTGGTTTCAGTCTAAAGAAGTGATTGGCAAAAAATAAAAATGATGTCGCGAGAAAGAGAAAATATTTTTAATGAACAAAACTAGTAAAAATAATTGCAATTGTGAAAATACTTAAGTTCAAAAACATCTTCAGAACAACAGTAATTTTATCACAAATAAATCTTATTACTGTAAATTTTAATATAATATTATATAACCCGCATTTTTCTGGCTATTTGATACAGAATCAGCTCGCGTGGCTGTTACTTCAAGCTTTTGGGGAAGTGACATTAATTATGGGCTTCCTGTTTCAAGTTTGGCTTTCTATGATGGCTGATTTTTCAAAATTCTTTTTTCCAGATCGGCGAACAAACTATATGGGTATTTACTAACTTTAGCTAGAGTTTGGCTTAAGGCTTCAAATTTAGAACACCCAGTGAGGATTGAACTTGCTACAATATTAATAACCTGCGAAACTAATTTGCTGTCCACTAATCGAAGCTGATGTGCCCAGGAGAAAAATATAATGTGAATAATAACTGTTTTTGCAGTGTCCTGAATTTCTCTCCATGATGATTCCCTAATGAAAGAACACGGAAATAAAAATAAGTCCCCTAATGGAGGTACTGTGCAAATATCTATTATATGTGCGTTAAAATTTATAGAAAAGTCAGGAAAAATGGGTTGTGAACACGAAAAATACTGGTTAGTTAGATATTTTGTTTTCTTTCCCTATGCGTCCAATAGGATGTAGGATGTGCGCAATTATAGTTTTCTACAGATTCTTGTTTTTTGTTGCTCTCTTTATATATATATATATATATATATATATTTATATATATATATATATATATATATATATATATATATATATATTGTGGGTTACCCCTACATGGCTTTGCCAATTTTGCCAAGAAGTCGTTATGTGGCGCTGTTAAACAGCTACAAAAACGGGGCAATTCCTGTCTCTTTCTCTTTTATTTCCTTCTAACATGCAGTAGAAGTAACACCAACCAAATCTTTGTCCCAGGCATGCAGATATCTTTTTCCGGGTTACTGAACTCTCTCTCTCTCTCTCTCTCTCACACACACACTAACTTTTAATGTCTTCTTACTTTTATACGCATACTAGTGTATGTTCTCTACTTTGTTACTCAGGTGCATAGAAATTTCACCTTGTTAAAAGTTAATCCATTTCCATTCACCTCTACTAACAATGACGATCCGACATTTACATGTGTGAATTTTGTTTGCCACTGCTTTTTGTTCAACTAGGAGCAGCTCCGCAATAATATATATAACCTCTCTTTGTCTTTGTGCTACTTCTCCATTTATTTGTCTTATGTCCCATACTGCCTTTCTATGGTTCACTTGACTTCAATGTGCCTTGTGAGTGTTAAATTTTTCAAGCCTTCTTTACTCATTATAAAATAATGCTTACTTTATTTATCCACTTGTTGAGCTAAAGAGCGGGAATTAATTTCTGACTTTTTCCTAGGATTTTGGAAAACTGTATATCAACTTGTTTTTGTCTTGTTATATAAAACAATATGAAATTTTAAGTTGATGTCATGATCTGTTTTCTGTCAATTTCTGTGTGTTTGCATACATATTTGTTCTGGCGCTGTAAAATCTTGACTAGAATTTTTAGCCACAAGCAAAATATTTACAAACAAATTGCATTTATCTATACATTTGTATTACTGATAAATAAAAGCACTCTCTATCACATTTCTTTCCTTTTTCTCATAGGGAATTATTGATTAAACATACTCTTGTGAGATTTTAAACTGATCCTTTTTTTTAATATATACTTTGTTTTATGGAAACATTTTTTCAATTGAGCCATCTTTTTGTAGTAGAAGCAGTAATACACTTAAGCTGTTTTGAAATTCAGAGAAAGATTTGTAATTAAGTTATTTAAGCTTAGAATCTGCAAATAGCATTCAATTAGTACTACTACTACTATAGTTGGTCAATAAAACAGTGTTGAACAGAACAAAAACAAAAAACAGCAGATTTCCAGTAAGACATCTTTAGTAGGTTAATGTATCATCCATGAAGGATGAGATCCTTAGGCATAGGATGCAAACTTGGGTTTTGTCCCAAACTCCTTTTTTATTTCCTCTAATTTAAATGGCTGAAGAATGGATTAATGTATGAAAATATTTGTAATGATCAAATATACATGGGGTTTCCAAAATATTTTCAACCTAGATAGGATCCCTTTTACAGTAATTCTAAATTATTGTTTTATTTGATTGTCTTAATATAATATAATATATTGCTTATATATTTTGTTTTTCACAAAACTGGGATATTTACATTGCTATCAATATTTTCTTTGCGGTATACATTTCAAAAGTAATTTTTAAAAAATGGAAGCACACGACGACGGCTGACAAAACTCAGAATTAGAAACTGAAGCATCGTATTGTGATTTATGTTTTCATCCTAGAATAGATTGTGCTTTGGTAAGTCTATGATCGCATGCAAAATATCTACCATGAGGACTGTCCTTTGTATGGAACTCATATTTTGGCCTGATCAGTTTTGTTGGGTGAGGGGGAAGTAATTTTTTAAAGACAAACTGTAATGAAAACGGCTTGTTGAAAAATAGAAGTGTTTGTTAAAAAATAACATAAAAATAAAAGTAGTATTTACATACTGACAGCATGAAAACAATACTTTATATTATTAAGAATGCTGGACTCAAAACTTTTGGAACACTTCTCGTATTTATGAAATATATTAATTCCAGTGTACAGAGCCATGCTCTATTTTAATATGATATACATATTATAACCATACTATTCTGTTAGTAAAGCTTGTATATATATATATATATATATATATATACGTAAAGAAATGTGATGGATTTTTATTTATTGATCCGATAGATTCTTTAAATGTTATTTTAGTGGGTACCCGTATTTGAATAGAAGCTTCGTTTATTTAATAAATAGTATATTTATTTTCGTCTATCGGCCTGAATATTCGAGAAATCTTATTAGAGAATGATATATGCTTTTCGGCATGTTTTTGTTAGGTGGTGTACCTTGACGTCAAGGAAATGTCCAGAACACTAACATCTGGTTAGTGTGAACACCAACTAGGTTGAAGTGCTAAGGCCTGAAATTATCGAAATTTATATTTATAAACTTAATATATATACAGGGTTGGGCATAAAAAGAGGGAAAGTAAAGGCTCATATTTTCTAAAGAAATAATTGTTTCTTTTTCTTTTTCATGTGAGTTGCATAGCATACCTGTAGGTTTTATCTGATACCATGATGGACCATTACGAGCAGTTCTCAGTTGAAGAGAGGACAAAAATTGTGGAACTGTATTTTGCAACAAAGTCATCTACAATTGTCCAGACGCGAATATCCTGGAAGGAAAATTTCCCATCGCCATACAATGATAGGTTTGGTAGAAAACACTGGAAGTATCATTAACAATAACAAAGTCCATTGTGGCCCAAAGTTCACAGCGAGGACGCCAGCCCATGTTCAAGAGGTCGGGCACCAGTTGGAACAGTCGCCCTGCAAATCCACCTGACAGCTTTCACAGCAAGTGGGTATTTCCAGGAGATCTGTGCGCCGAATTATCCACAGTGATATGAAACTGTTTCTCTACAAAGTGCAGATTCTTCAAGCGCAAACTCAAACCAACAACACCGAACGCTACGAGTTTGGCCAGACGATAAGCGAGCGTATTGAGAACGGCCCTCAACTTTTGGACTGTCTTCTCTTCAGCGACGAGGCGGACTTCCATTTGAGTGGGCATGTGAATAAGCAAAACTTCAGGTGTTGGGCCAGTGAACAACCTCATGAACACGTTGAAAAACCTCTGCGTGTAGAAATAAACTACGGTATGGTGTGCACTTGGAAAGAATGGTATTTTGGGGCCATACATTTTTGAAGATGATGATGGCCATCGGTTGACAATGAATGTACACCGATACATCGAAATACTTCGGAGACGCTTCATTAAGGAGGCAAAGGGGGTTTTGACATGAAAAAAGTTATGCTTCAACAGGATGGTGCACCACTTCACTGTTCCGATCGCACTGTACAATACTTTGGGCAATACGTTTCAGGCGACCGATTAATCTCGAGGAGGACCGACAATCCATGGTCGCCCTACTCTCTTGATCTGAACCCGCCGGACTACTTTCTCTGGGGCTACCTGAAGGAGAGAGTGTATGAGGGCAACCCAGACACAGTTGACAGGCTGAAAGAGAACATCAAGAGAGAAATCAGGAGAATTCCGAATGACATGTTGGAGAGAGTCGTGAACAATTTCATTGTCAGAGTGGCGAACGTCATCCAGCTGCGGAGCACCTGGATGAACATGTCATCAATTACTGATCAAAGTGACTAAACATTCATTAATTTGAAAATGCTTTTGGACAGTAAAACTTTTAAATATTTTCCACCTCTTGTGAAAAAAAACTCGCAAGAATTCCTACATTTGTATAAACTGTAACAATTTTATTTCGTCCCTCTTTTTGTGTCCCACACCCTCTCTTTTTCTTTCTTTCTTTCTATATATATATAGCATTAATGTGAGTCACTGGATTGATATTACTGTTCGTCCACTCTTCAGGTGGTATCAGCAATTTACTGTCTTTATATTTTCGATTTTTTTCTTTTATGCACATTTAACACTGGTGTAAGTTTTCTTCTGTATATTTTGTGTTCGTGTGAGCGCTTGTGCGAGTGCGGTAAGGCGCCCGTCTTTGCAGATGTGCATGCGCCCGTCTGCGCGTACGTGTCGGAAGTCGTGATCATTTTGCCCCTTGTTTTTTTTTTATCATTTTACTCATTTAGCCTTCTCTCTCTTTTTTCCTTTTTCTACCAACTGTTACTGTTTTGTTCATGACCGATTTTTATTTTTATTTATGGGCATTCTAGTTTCTAGGAAAATTTTATTTCGTTTTTTAAGTTTTTTAGATAAATAATTGATATTAATGGTTAAATTAAATATATATATATATATATATATATATATATATATATATATATATATATATAATACTGAATATATTAATGCTTAAATGGTAAATACTCATATATGCATATATATGGTACCATAAGTATTAATTGCAGGAAATTAAATTTATTTATCATTGTTAGAATTTATGAGCATATGTCCGTATTTATACCCTTATGCATACGCACACGTTCGCAACTATTCACGCACGTATATAGGTATACGTATGCGTACATATGTACACATAAACATGCGTACACAGGTACGTGTACACTTATGTCTGTGCTTTGTTATTAATAAATTAGTACTCAAATGGTGAAGTTATTTATTTTTTAAATATTATATATATATATATATATATATATATATATATATATATATATATATATTACATACTCCCGCACACTCACGCACGGACTGTACGCACGCACGTATATGTAATTGTTAAACAGTGTATATGTAATTAAAGTAAGTCTCTGCATATATCAAATGTTATCGTTTATCGTTTATTTAATGTTTCATTTTTATTTTATTTAATGGTTAGTAGTTTATTCTTTTTTGTCTTGGTGATAAATAATGAGATATTAATTATGGGAGTTAGATTTGTTCATTTTTTTGTGTTTGTTATTTGTGTGTGTGTGTGTGTGTGCGTGTGTATTTATATATCCATACGCGCATATACACACACGTGTATAAACGTGTATGTTTAATATTTGTTCCTTTATGGTTTATTAAATTAAGTTACCGACGAAAAAATTCACCTAGGGGCCACAGAAAAAAAACTTTTAAAGAAAGATTATAACCACAAAAGGTCATTCGAAAAAAAAAAAAAATTACACAAACAATACAACCCTATCAAAATACATATGGGACCAAAAAATAAACAATATCTCCACCAAAATCAAATGGGAAATTATAAAAAGTGCAGCCCCATATAGTATTAATAGTAAAAATTGCTTAGAGGAAAAACTAGCAATAATTAGTTTTAGACACCAAAATAAACAAAAAAAAAAACTAAAATAATGGGTAAATATAGGCATATAAATAAATATTTCCTTTGCCATCTAAATACAAACTAAAAATAAACAAATAAGTATAAATTAAATAAATATGATATAAACTTTAAATAAATAAATGAAATAAAAAATATAATGCAAACTTAAATAAACAAATAAAAGAAGCAAATGCAATATAAACTTAATTTAATTATATTATTTATGTTGAAATTCTTTTATTTATCGGTATAGGTATTTGTGTAAATACGTTAGTGGGGTGGTTAGAATTTTTGTTAATGTATATTGGGTTATTGTTTGGTTTTATAGGCATATTCATAAAACTCACTTTAATTCTCGAATTTTGACAGTCTTCTATTTAATTTCTAGTGCATAACATACAGAATGAGTGCCGAAACCTGCTAAAAGAATTTTTAGGTAAAAAAAAAAATAAAAATAAAAATACCGGATTTAGCGCTTTATTATCAATTCCTGCCTAGCATTAGAAACGTATAGTTTATTAAAGCAAGTGGGTATGTGACCAAATGGTTAGAGCGTTGGTGTTCCAATCATGAGTTCCAGGTTTGAATCACACCATGATCAATTACCTAAGGGGGTGACTTTTTGATAACATCATCCTTGGAGAGATGATCAGAACATATGGCATCATTAGAAAGTGTCTGAAAACCAATTCACAAATTGACCCAAGACTTGTGAGTGAAATTAGCCACATGGGAAGCTGTCAATTGTTGTGCTAGCACAAAGTTACATGTCCTTAATGGGCAGATAGAAGCTCTTTAGCCTTGGCTGGAACTCTATCTAGAGATGATATCTCAATAAATAAGAAACGCCTATCGTCAGCAGTTTGGCCACTCATGGGCATGTATCATCTTTTTCCATTGATAAGTCTACATTGTTTTTATTGATTTATTCTTTTTCTATAGTTGATCAATCCGTTACAGGTTTATTTAAAACCAGAAAATATTTTTAGATTATAAGAATTTTTTTAGATAATAATGATTTCGTAATACAAAACTTACTAATTAACCCATAGCTGGGGGAGAAGAGGTGGATTCATACCTTTCCCAATGGTATTTGGACGTGTGAATATAACGAATTCAACTGGAATTCAAACTCGGCTCTTCAGAGCCATTATCCTTTACATATGCACATTCAAGCTTACAGCACCTGGTATTCCCAAGCAGTCACCCATCTAGATACTGACCAGACTCGACGTTGTTTAATTTTGATGATTGTACGGGAACCGGTATTTCCATGTGATGTAGCCGTAACCCTAAACAAATGGTAATGGTGAAGTTAACCATTTCTATAAAAGAGTGAACTGAACAGTTAATGTTACTCTCAGTTGAAATTTATAAAATTAATCAAATAAAGAGTACCGTTGAAAATTTACCGGAGGTTACCTGGATCGACAAGCGCCTGATGAAGACCAGAGGGTACAACAGCTGAACCATTGTGATAATAACTACAAAGATGAGGACAACACTGAGTGCAAATTATCTAATGGTAACCTTACATCCTAGAATTCAGACAAAAATTATGGGAGTTTCTTTCCAAAGTTTCTGTTTATGGGGGTGTAAAAAGTTAATAGCTTGATTATATCATTATCTTCTCTTCTAATTACACGTGCTATCCATTTTCATTGTTGTTGCTGTTGGAAATGTTCAAGTGGTGTGGTTTTTGTTATTTGGTAAAACTCTTTGAGATTTTGTAGTACCAGTGTAAAAGGTCTGATAAAGAAACCATCTTTAAGATTTATAGGATGATAATCCTTCACTTAAGCATTGTAAAATAAACTGTTATTCCCTGAACAGCGCACAATCAATAAGACCAAGATATATAATTTTATTACAATTAAACATTACTACAACGGGTAATGGTGGACTATGCAGAAAATAAATGCTGAGAACACGGGACTTCTTCTACTGCCGGATCCACAAAATGCTGCTGATGAATAACGACGTCATGAGAGTATATCTCATGGTTGATTTACTCGATTCCAGCATAAGCAGCCCAGCCATCTGAAGCAATATGGTTTTCAGGCTGAATATACTGCACAACTCCCTCTGCACTCCCTCTTTCAGAGTCCCTACTCACCAATCTGGCACCTCTACCCAGAAACACTTTCCCGAATCCCGCTCGATACCACCGAATGCCCAACGGTCAGGGCACCATTTGCCATGGTAATATTTAGGAAGAAAAAAAATTAAAGATATAGATTAATGACAGTTTATTTGACATCGTTTAAATGAAGCAAAACTTTGACAGATTATTTTACGCCATTAATGTGAAGGATTATTTATAGAATTTATTCGTTTGAAGCCATTTTTAATTATTGTTCTGAGAAAATAGGGACAAATATGGGTTAAAATTTTAATTAAATTTAAAGTGTACAATTGCCATGCAATTAAAAATAGTCTTTTTTTTTCTATTTTGAAAAGAAAAGGGGCCACAGTTGGATTAAATCACGTTAATTTTTTTAAGTTCTTCATGTTACATTTTCATAGTTGCTGATCTGTGCGATTTACTGTTCTTGCTCGACAGTTTTGTCTCATGATGAAAAGTGTGCTTCTGTAGAAAAGTGTGCTTCCGTAGAAAATCGTAATTTTTTAAAATCATTTCACCCCAAGCAAGACAGGAATGCCACTAGTCTGCAGGCGGTTACAGAGAGTGAAAGTGAGAGAAAAGACTAGGTATAAGGGGAATTGAGGAAAGGATAAAAGATGAATAGGATTTAAGAAGACAGAAGTGATTGACGTTGCATTTAAATTTTTGAAGACTGTAGTTTTGAGGGAAGCAAGTAAACAGAAAGGAATTTCACAGATGGGAAGTGCGAGAAAAGAAACAGTTGGAGTAGAAATTAGTTCTTATTCTTTTTTTCAAAGCTATTTAAATTACAGGTAATGTTATCTTGTCCACAAATAGCTGTATTTAGTTTATTTGCAATATTACTGGTCATTTTGGTAACTGATGAATCTGTTAATGTCTCTTTTGTGTATCTACCTTAAAATAAGTACCCAAAAATATATCTGTTGTGAGAATAATTTAATTTTGTCCAATTTAAGTTGCTAGGAGTTTTTGCAACTTATACAAGGTAAAACTTAATAGTTATTAATTCTTAAGTTCCATAACAAAATGTTCTTATATGAAGCGTCTATTTTATTTACTATTTATTTTGTTCCTGCAACGTCTCCACCTGAACTCCGAAATTTTACTTACTAATAATTTATTTTTCTTCCCGATAGGAGTTGATAGATTTGCCTATTGTTCGGTTCACACTCCATTCTGGTTTTTTGAACATGAGTTTCTTTAACTTGTTTCCTGTTGAGGATTGTTTTTGCTTACTTCTCTAATTCGACTCTATACTTCTAACTAACATCTCTGCTTTAACTCTGAAATTTTATTCACTATTTTTATTTCTCTCAATAGGAGCATACAGGTTCGCTTATCATCTGATTCACATTCCTTTCTAGTTTTTTTGAATAGGAGTAGAGGCTTATTTCTTGTTCTCCGTTTAGGATTGGGTTTCCGGTTCCTTCAAAATTTTGGTCATTCTCTTGCTTTTTCCTAACCACAACAATCGTGACCTCTTCTAGTCGAGAACCATTATTTTTCCTGCTTAGCTCCATGAACTCCACTTCTTACCTTTTCTTATGCTCATACAATACCACAAAGTAACCCTCTATCTCGAATGGCTCTTGGGCCTTGTATTGGTTAAACATTAATAAAAAAAATGAAAAATATATAAAGTTAGGGCAACAACATCTCTCAAAAATAGTCACAATGGAAAAAACTATTTGCCAACTACTTGTTTACAGGAAACTCCACTTCTTTTTACCATCAATTATTTGGCTGCTAACCAAGTAAAAAGTTGCTCATCTTTTATAAATTTGCGTAAGGCTAAATTTTGTCTGTGTGTCCCCCTTACATCAGTAGAACAGAACAGTCTGCATTTTAAACACATAATGAATGTTTATCTTCCTTTTATATATATTACTAACAAATGGCCTTTAGAACATTAGCAGTAGTATTTAATTTGCATAATAAATTTTAAAAGCATATTTTCATATTTCTTCTGTATTACTTATTTTTAATTCAAATTTTAAAATGACCCTATATTTGCAATTTTTCTTTTGATAAATGAAAAAATCATTGTGTTTGTATAGGATGAATTTATATCTGCTTTATCAAAATTCAGTCATAAGTTAGAAAGCCTACAGTGTTCATAATAAGCATTCTTGCCATCTGCTATTTCATATTATCACAAATTAATTGAACAGTGCACCCCCCCATTATGGTATTATCTTAATAAGTCAAAATAATCTATTTAATTAGATTTTTGTAAAACTGTATCAAATTATTTAAACAAGTGAAAATATAGTAAGTTTGTGAAATTAATTATTATTATGATTAATATAAACATTATAGAATTATTCAAATATTTCTCTCATGGTAAGCTCTATATCCAGAATAGAAAATTCAAGTGAAAACGTTTTTTAGAAAATAAATGTCTTTTTTTTTTTTTACTAATGTTCATCCAATACAAGGCCCAAGAGCCACTTAAAGTAGAGGGTTATTGTGTAGACTTATATTAGCATAGGTAAGAACAAACATTAGAAGCACAGAGCTGAGGCAGATATTAAAAGGAGCAGAAAAACCCAATCCTAAACAAGAAACAAGCAATAAACCTCTACTACTGTTTAAAAGACCAGGCTGAACATAGTGTTTATACAGAAATTTTATGGAGTTAAAGAGAACTTCTATGAGAAGTTGATTCTGTTTGTAGGATGGGTATTTAGTTAGTATTTTTGATTTATGTATTACTTTTACTAACTTGATACAAGACCCAGCATCAAAGAATTAATATGTACTTTATACAATGCCCTGCAGTAAAGAAGATCAATATCAAAGCAATTCTTTTATGCACTGTTTCCCTTCAGGACATGCACCATCATGGCTCTCCACAATTTCCTATCCTTTGTAGCTCCAAACAATGTTTGTCTCCTTATTATCTTTCAATCCAGTTATTAATAAGAGCTGAAATTAATGCATGCAAGATTTCACAGCTCTAGTATCACTCCTTCAGAGTCAGCCTATGAATTTTTCAGCCCATCCTCACCATACAATGACAAAAAAAGAACTTTAGAGAATAAATGTCTTGCTGAGGATGCTGTTTAACAGAAATTTTATACAAGTAGGAGAATTTATTTGACAGTTTTTCTGTTCCCAGGATGGGTATTCAGCTAGTCCTGAAAGAAGATTTAATAAGCACAAATGTAGTAGATAATATTTCACAATATATAGGTTGCTAACAAATCTAGATTTCTTATTGTCATCATGAAAAAAATATTCATACAAATAATATCATTGGAAATCTATTCTTATTTTGGCTCTTAAAAACCTGCAGATTTATTCTGTAATTTTACATTCAAATTGAAATGACAAAGAAAGACAGTTTTGTAAATTTATAAAAATATTCTATATTTTACTAACAGTGATGTTTACATGTTTAATAATATTCTGGTATTTTGTCAAATGCCACAATGCAGCAGTAAATTGCAGCAAGTGGTAAAACAATAAGACAAAAGAATGAAAAAGAAAACAAGCATACAAAATGTTAAATGCAAAGCTACAATAAAAAATACAAAAAAGAAATGTGAACTACAAAAATAGAGAAAAAATAATTTTAAAAAATAAAAAAGAACAATGCACACATTTTTAAATCTACAATGCATTGCACAAAATTTAATAATTTCTTACTGTCTGCGGACCATCGAGCATTGCATGCATAAAATACAAAAAACAAACCAAAAAAAAAAAAAAAAAAAAAACTGGCTTCAAACTCTACCTACACAAATGTCCAGAATAAAGCAAACATTATATTAATCAGCAAAAGGACCTGATATGGTCTATTTTTACCAATGGAATTGGTTATGGGGGATGATGCAATATTATTAATACTTATTCTAAATAATAATAATCATCATTTTCATCAGCAGCAAAAAAAAAAAAAATAAAAATTACAAACTTTTGGTAGGGGCAAGAGAATTTAAGATGATTATTATTCAACATTCTAAATTAGTCAACATTCTTAATTTAATAAAAATACATTTTTTTAAGAGAAATTTTATGATTTGTTCAATAGTGTAAATTACAAAAGCAGCTAGTTAAGGAATTTGTTGCAACAAAGTTAGTACAAAATAAAGCTTTCTTTGTATTGACAGGTTATTTGGTATTCATTAATGAAATGGGGAAAAATCAAATTTCCA